CATAGTTGAGACTCAGTTCTTCACTTCAACTCCATTCTGTGCTTTCTTTCAACAACTGTTTTACACCAGTTAAAATGCGCTTCTGTCAGCTGCTCACCCACTCTGGACAACTTAAGTCTTCAACCCAGGGTATGGGACGGCATAACATGAGCATGTGGGGGAAGGAGGAGAAAGAGAGAACAGAGGGTTTTCCATGCTCCTGTGCTAATTTTTAACACCCTCTCCCCCATAACTACAAGCAAATCTGTTTCTTGCGCAAAAGAATAATGACTCACCACTTTTGTTATTTAAACAAATGGAAAAAACTCCATCTGGTGCTGGGTGTTAGGAGCCAAATTGTATTTGTCTTAACCCAAAGGTCCATTTGTTAATAATAAAAGTCCTTGAGCTACAAAAAGGAAGTGGAGTCAATATCAGTGATCACTCTACAACCAAACTTCCAGCTCGGGAATCTGATTCACCCCTCCACTATGGCAGGTGTGGAAAAGGTGGATAAATCAATCCAAAAAAGGAGAGAGTTGGCAACATTCTGAAGAGAGAGAAGCTGGAACTGAAAAGCATCTTAAAAGGGACCTGCTGCAAGTACTTAAAACTGTTGCCATTATCATCTCTTCAAAATATGGAGGTATGGTAGTACAGATTTATTCCCTGCTCCTGCCCCTGCCCCTCCAGGCAACTGGGCTCCAGCTTCTTTTTATGTAAGAGGCCACTGGCAATGGGAAATCTTAGGAGGCATGCAATGCACGGTTAATGAAGGCAAGAGAGATTTGGAGAGGGAACAAAGGAAGGCAAGAAAAATGGAGTGGAAGAGAGGCAGAGTGACAGAAGGCTTAGGGGAGGTAGACTAAAAGGTTAGAGAAACATCTTTTGAGTCACAACCCGAGAGGATGTTACAGAATGGTAAAATTCATGCATCCACCACCCCCTTCCTATTCATTTCTCAGCAAGATCCCATGCAAACCCTCTCTCTCTCTCTATGGTAGCTGTGATTCTGTCCTTGCAAAGCCATACACATCCTCCCCTTTCACTCTCCATCAGGTATAAATCATATGTGTATACTGGTCCCAGAAGGTGTAATTTCCAACTTGAGGAGACATATCCACATTAGCTCTTATCGAGCTAGTGAACTAAAAATGGAAGTGTAGCCAGCTCTAGTGTAGCTATATCCTTAGTGTTAGAGCACCGGTATCATTTCAGCACCTTTCCTGCAAGATGTAATGACTTGTTTGCTTATTCTCCATCTCCGCTTCATACCCAAACACATGTAAGAAGCTTTGTCAGTTAAACCAATCCAATTCAAGGAGCTTATGAAGCTCCATAAAACAAGCACTCTACATCTAATTTCCTTATAGCAGTATTTCACATATTTTCTAAAACAGAAACAAAGGAAATTCCCAGATTAACCCCTCTCCCCACAAGGAACCATAGCTGAAATAACACTGTGGTCACAGAGACGCCTCAATGAACTGAAAACAAAATTATAATTGTGTAATGGAATTAGTTGGGTTTTTTAAAGGGCAAAAATTTTTGAAAGCAAAACATTTGCAAATTAAGTTTCTGCACATTAACTGTAATATTGTACTAATGCCCATTTTCTTCCTATTACTTACTACCTAGAGCAGCCCCTTCATTTCCAACTACCAGACATTATATAAGTTTCCAGTATTAAAAGGCAACTCTTTCTTCTTTTACTATATAAATAACCTTAAGAACCGCTTTCTACCCATCTCAGGCCAACCACCACACCTATCCCATTTGTCCCAAATACGTGTGTATGTATAGAACAGAAAAAAACACCTTCTCCTAACCGTCTCATAGACTTATAGACTTTAAGACCAGAATGGACCATCATGATCATCTACTCTGACCTGCACATTGCAGGCCACGGAACATCACCCACCCACTCCTGTAATAGACAAATATTCCTCTGCAGAGCAAAAACCAAAATGTACTGCCTCCACAGTGAGAAACTGCCAACTCCTCAATAATAATAAAAAAGAAAACACAAGAGGAGTTAGTACTTACCAATGAGAAGAAAAGAAGATACAAGTGCCAGAAGTAGTTGCAAAGTAGCCACATATAAGACAAAGCAAATATTCTCTGCTAAATGTAACAGGCCAGCCCCTACAAAAGGTATGCTAAGAGGAAATACCTTATTAGAGGGGCAAGCCTCACAGACAAGCTAGGAAGTTAACATGAAAGGTACCCTTGAAGGACAGGCTGTTCCAGCATATTACAAGCAACTACTATATCACAACCCACTGTATGTATCTTTCTAATTTGCAAGATCTCCATAAACAGGCCTCAGATGCATTCTTGCCCAATCTGCTCTACAAAAATTGGATGCAGATGCTGAAATGGGCTAAGATAATTCTTGTAGAACATAATATGATGATGTGAAAAGCTTCTAAAGTTGTTGCAATACTTATACCACACAAGTATTCTGACTAGAACTATTACCACTCTAACTGAGACCAGTAGGATCAGTACTGGAATCATTATTCATGTTATTTATCCTAATGCTATAGAATTAAAATTCTAATTTTCCTAGCTTTCAAATATATAGGTCACTGGGTAGCAGGCCCACTGAGGAGCTCAGGCCTGGCTAGGAAATTTAGAATTTTAATTCTATAGCACTAGAATAAATATCTATCACAGGCTCAGCTAACGAGAATGAGCCAACGCAGATCCACCCAAGGGACCATTACAGTTTCTAGGAATCACCAGAACACTGAGAAGTTGAGTCAGTGTTCTCTTTTCTTAGCCTTGTTGCATATGCTTGCCACAGAAGAAGGGTGGTGCAGGACCAGCCTTCGATGTTCTGTTCCACTGGATGATCTTGCCACATGGGTAATCCTCCTGTAGTTGGCTAAGCCAGTTTCAGGGCAGCTTTGCACTGGCAGAATCGTGTCAAGCTTCCCAAACAAGGAGAGAGCTTGGTTCTACCTCCTGTTCATATATTCCTTCACATACAAACCTTACTTTGGTAAGTCAAGGGAGAAGAATTGGGCCCTTACTTTGTACTCTTGAATTTAATTTTTTAAAATATGCTAGTTTCTTCTCTAAATGTTGTCAAGAGTTATCACATTATGACAACTACAGTTTCCAGTTTACATGCATTTGATCTCATATCTCTCATGTAAAACCACAGAGAGCAAAGAACATCCAACCACAGAAGTGATATTTTTAAAACATATATTAGCTCAGTTCAAATACAGAAGTAAGAAAAGTTAATTTAAAATGCTTGCATGGGGGGGACAAGAACACTAACTAAACCTCCAGAACTCAATCACAAACTTGTATCTTCAAAATAAGCAAGAGAGATTTCATTTCATAGTGAAAGCTTTAAAGTATACAGCACTTCCAATTCACTAAGAAAGTTTAAAAAGATTCTGTAGTAAAAGATTTTGTTGAATGTCAGGTAAATGTGATTGAATTAAAAATAGCCAATGGTGGTACCTTATGTGGAGAAAATAACCCAGCCAAATGTGATGTATGTTTAAAAAAAAAGTAAAGGAGGACTTGTGGCACCTTAGAGACTAACAAATTTATTTGAGCATAAGCTTTCGTGACCTACAGCCCACTTCATTGGATGCATGCAGTGGAAAATACAGTGGGGAGATTTATATACACAGAGAACATGAAACAATGGGTGTTACCATACCTGATCACTCTCGTTACAGTGTAAGGATCTACAACCTATCCTAAAGGATGACCCAACACTCTCACAAGTCTTGGGAGACAGGCCAGTCCTTGCCTACAGACAGCCCCGCAACCTGAAGCAAATACTCACCAACAACCACATACCACACAACAGAACCACTAACCCAGGAACTTATCCTTGCAACAAAGCCCGTTCCCAATTGTGCCCACATATCTATTCAGGGGACACCATCACAGGGCCTAATAACATCAGCCACACTATCAGAGGCTCGTTCACCTGCACATCCACCAATGTGATATATGCCATCATGTGCCAGCAATGCCCCTCTGCCATGTACATTGGTCAAACTGGACAGTCTCTACGTAAAAGAATAAATGGACACAAATCAGATGTCAAGAATTATAACATTCATAAACCAGTCGGAGAACACTTCAATCTCTCTGGTCACGCAATCACAGACATGAAGGTCGCTATCTTAAAACAAAAAAACTTCAAATCCAGACTCCAGCGAGAAACTGCTGAATTGGAATTCATTTGCAAATTGGATACTATTAATTTAGGCTTAAATAGAGACTGGGAGTGGCTAAGTCATTATGCAAGGTAGCCTGTTTCCTCTTGTTTTTTCCTACCCCCCCCCCCCAGATGTTCTGGTTTAACTTGGATTTAAACTTGGAGAGTGGTCAGTTTAGATGAGCTATTACCAGCAGGAGAGTGAGTTTGTGTGTGTTTGGGGGTGGGGGGGAAGTGAGAAAACCTGGATCTATGCAGGAAATAGCCCGACTTGATTATGTAAAGAGTTATCACTTTGGATGGGCTAGCACCAGCAGGAGAGTGAATTTGTGTGGGGGGGGTGGAGGGTGAGAAAACCTGGATTTGTGCTGGAAATGGCCCACCTGCTGATCACTTTAGATAAGCTATTACCAGCAGGACAGTGGGGTGGGAGGAGGTATTGTTTCATATTCTCTGTGTGTATATAAAGTCTGCTGCAGTTTCCACGGTACACATGTGATGAAGTGAGCTGTGGCTCACGAAAGCTCATGCTCAAATAAATTGGTTAGTCTCTAAGGTGCCACAAGTACTCCTTTTCTTTTTGCGAATACAGACTAACAGGGCTGTTCCTCTGAAACAGTGTGTATGGTAACACCCATTGTCAGATTGCCTGTCAGATTGTGTTGGGGCAATACAATGTCATCGCCTGTATGTGAAAGTCTATCTGTCTGACACGCACAATGTCATTGTGTGAGAGAGAGTGTCTGGCTGACACACACAATGTCGTTGAGTTTGTGAGAGTCTGTGTCTGTCTGATGTGCACGTCGCTGTGTGTGTGTGTCTGTCACACACTCAGTGTCTGAGAGAATGTCTGTGTCTCACACACAATGCCATCAGATGTGTGGAGGTGTCCGTGTCTCACACACGCACTCAACGATCTCTTCCTGTGTGTGTCAGAAAGATAAAGACCCTCTTCCATGGTCGGCCTCCCCACCTGTGGTCCCTTTAAGAGAACACACGCTTCCGGGTCTCCGCCTGTGAAGTCACTCATCTCGGCCAATCACACAAGGACATGTCGCTTGGGAGCCAATCCGAGGGGAGGACAGTGGGGTTTGTTGCCATGGCGACAGCAGCCAGGCCTAGGCCCCGGCTGGCCGCGGGAAGCATGGAGGCGATTCCCCAGGAACAGGACCTGAGCCGGGGGCTGGAGAGCCTACCCGTGTCGCTGTGGCCGCCGTCCGAGGAACCCCCGCCCTTCCAGGTAGGCGGCGGCGGCGGCTCCGGCCCATCACGCAGCGGCAGCTGGCCGCGCCAGAGAGAGACAGAGGAGCGTCGGCCCAGGCCGCAGCAACCCCCGCCCCCCGGGGAGCCGAGCGCGCCTCCAGCGCCGCTGCCGATTCAGAGGCCGCCCGGGCTGCTGGCGCCTGTGGCCGAGCCCACGAGCCCCGCCCGCTGGGTGCAGGGCTAGGATCCGTGGCTGGGGTGAGCAGGGCCCTGCTGGTCCGGGCACGCGCTGTCCGGTCTGAATTCGCAGAAACGAGCTCGGGGCTCGGCGAGCCTTGCCCGCATGTTACACTCGAGTTGGCGGTCCCCCTTGGGCCGTGCGGTCTGCAGTCTATGCTGTAGTGCAATCGAGGGCTCTGTGGCCTTAGCCAAGAGCCCTCGCCCTCTCCTTGCGGGAAAAGTTCGGCTGGTGCTGAAAACAAATCAGCACACGCCCTCAAACGGTATCAAATTAAATGTATGCGTTCCCCGGCTGGGGAGAGGGAAATACACGTGTCACGTTGAAAGCCGGACATCAAATGGGGCTTCTGCAAACAGGTACCATTTCCGTGTGCCATAAATCTTTAATAGGTGCAAAGGAAGTTCTGATTGCTGGCCCCAAGCCTGAAACTGCACCCCCAGGTTGCCGTTTCAGAGTAGCAGCCTGTGTTAGTCTGTAGCCGCAAAAAGATCAGGAGGACTTGTGGCACCTTAGAGACTAACACATTTGTTAGCGCATAAGCTTTCGTGGGCTACTGCCCACTTCATCGGCTGCACAGAATGGAACATATAGTAAGAAGATATACACACACACACACGCACACACAGATAAGTTGGAAGTTATGCAAACTGTGTGCATGTTATTGTAGGATAGGGGCCCGAAACTGGTAAACGTTCTAAAGTGCCCCTTCTGAAACAAATCTGGGCTTAGAAAATCCTCACTTCTGTCTAGAGATACAGGATGGGTGAGATGATCTCTTTTAGTGGACAACTTCAAGAAGCTTGAGTTCAAGAAGTTGTCCAATAAAAGATATTACCCCACCCACCTGGTGTTTGTAATATTCTGGGGCCAGGCTCCAACATTTTAGATCTAGGAATAAAATGGTTTAATTTCCCGTAACTTGCAAAAATAAAACCCCACCAACATGGTTGGCTCTTCCACTTCTGTTCAAGAAAGATTTTTATAAAATATTTTTAAATAGGTAGAATATAGCTGAGTACATGTATTTTAAAATATCCTCTATTTGGATGCCCTGCTGATGTGTTTTTACTTATTTACATTCTTTTGCTTTCCAGCAGCCACTTGGCCATTTAAAAAAGATAAAGCCCAAGAAAGCATGATTTACAGCTTGTACCTGCAAGACTCAGTAAATAAGCAAATAGTTGAAACAAACATTACTTTTTAAAAAGTAACGTTAGTACATCTTTTTGCTGCTATCTCTTTATAGATTAATGGGGAATCAAAGCACCAATTTTAGCTGGTCTCAGGTTAAAAATTATATATTGCACTTTTTTTTTTTAAAGGAAGCATCCTAGATCTTAATGGAAAAGCTCTTCTCTCAAAAACATTTTCAGTTGTACTACCTCCTTTTTCCTTGCTGACAGTTTTTACAGATTTTAATTTTAAAGCCATATCTCACCTGCTGGTCTCCAGAAATAATATATTGCCATAAGTTAATTTATAGCCCAACCATTAAAACAAGTGCATTGCTAGCAGGGATTATAGTTATTTCTTCAGTAAAACGGAATCAAAGAATGAACTTGACAGGCACTTTAGAGTGTCACACTGTGTGAGGTGGTTAACACAATAAATTATGTGAAAGTTTTGAAACGTTAACAGTCACTTCTCATTCTAACTAAGTCCTGATCCAACTCCTAATGTATCCAATCTCTTTTCTAAACTATTTATAGAGAGTTACAAACAAATTCCCCAGAGGTGTATGGCTAGTTAGATTTTGATTAAGTGGTGGATTCATAGGAAAACAGAATTTAAGAACCTGAATTCCCATAATGAAAATGGAGCCACATATTGGACTAAACATTACATTCATTTTAAATGATGTGGGCTTGTGAAATTTTAGGAAAATAGGAAACTCTCTTGTCAGTGTATAAGGGAGTATCAAAGATAAGTGAATGTTAGAAAGATTCAGAACTTGCTCTGATTTAAACACAAGTGGCTGAGCAAGCTCCTACTTGAGGGAAAATAAACCTCTGAATGAACTGTTATGTTCCTGAGCATCCAGAATTTAACATAACAGGCCACTGTAACATTTTAATCACAGTATGTACTTTAGGTTTCTGTATAATATGCTGCCTTCCTTCAAACGGAACATTATAAAGAAAACAAGCATGACTCTGGAGTATCTTGTTATAAATACCTATATTTTGACTCCAAAATTTAGCGAAGTTTCAATCACCGTCCTTCATCATACGAATATTCACTCTAATGTGAATCTGGGCCTGCCAGGGGCATTTGTGTAATTTTGAAAGCATGAATTCCAGTGTTGTCTGAACTAAACCAAATCCCTTCCTTAAGTGGTAACCAGGTTGAAATGCAATCACCAACTCATTTTTGTCCTCTGCAGATGCATCGATATACAGTTCTGAACACTTAGATACCTGCCTCTGCAACAGACTTTCCTCTTGTGACAATAAAATCACTAGTACTGGGTCTGAATGTGACAAGATATCTACCATCTCAAAATGTAAAGCTTTTTGGATTATATTAAAAATAAAAATGATGGCTAGAAATTATTTTCAAAGTCAAACACTGTTCTCATAGAGCTTTTAAATTGGCCTAAGAGGTGTGTGTTTGATAAAACAGTAATACTCTGTTTAAATAATTTACTCAATCTCACAGTGATTTATATATGTAGATTAACTAGGAAATTAACATCACCATCTGCTTGTCTTTCTGTCTATTATGTAAATAAATAGAAGCATAGTGTATGCCTTTTCTATTTTAAGGGATTCTTTTGTGCTCAGAATAATTAACTCATGTCTGGGCACTCTAGATAAAATTAGATGCATTAGTTTTGTGGTGGGGGGTGAGAATTTATCTCTGGTTTATCCAATGGGCTGGTTTTAGGAATTAAATCATTAATGTAGCACTCTGCATATTCACCTTAAATCCACATGGACTAGGATTTGCATTTTAAAAACTGGTCTCAAAAGAGTTCATCTACATAATTAGCAAATAGGAATTAGAATAGAAAAAATATAAAGCTGTTTTTAATTGCCCACCCCTGCCTCTCCTAGCTAATTCACCTAGACACCCATCTTCACTTTTTTAAAAAAAATTGTTTGTTTCCAGATTTTGGCATATATCCAGGAAGAGATTTTTCTGGATCCATTTAGAAGTCTACATCACAATTGCCTCCCTGTGGACAGTCTTATCTGATAGGTAGGGCCCCACCAAATTCCGGGCCATGAAAAATGCGTCATGGACTGTGAAATCTGGTCTGTAGTGTGCTTTTACCCTATTCTATACAGATTTCACAGGGGAGACTAGTGTTTCTCAAATTGGGGATCCTGACCCAAAAGGAAATTGCAGGGGGGTCACAAGTTTATTGGGAGGGGGGGGTTGCAGTACTACTACCCTTACTTCTGAGCTGCCTTCAGAGATGGGTGGCTGGAGAGTGGCAGCTGCTGACTGAGGGCCCAGTTCTGTAGGCAGCAGTGCAGAAGTAAGGGTGGCAGTACCATACCATGCCATCCTTACTTCTATGCTGCTGCTGGCAGTGGCTTTGCCTTCAGAACTGGACTCTGGGCCAGCAGCCGCCACTTTCCAATTGCTCTGAAGGCAGAGTGGCCGCCTGCAGCAGTGCAGAAATAAGGGTAGCAGTACCGCAACCCCGCTCTACAACTCCTTTATGGGTCAGGTCCAGTAAAATTACACCACCATGAAATATCAGATTTAAATTGCTGAAATCATGAAATTTACAATTTTAAAAATCCTATGACTGTGAAATTGACAACTATAGACTGTGAATTTGGTAGGGCCCTACTGATAGGCCAAGAAATGAAAGATGATGGAGACTGAACTGCCTTCTTATTCTGAGAGGACTGGGTTCTCTTGGGTCGGGTTGAGATACAGTGGTGGGGCAGTGTATTCACTGGATCTGATCCATGATCAAGGACTTAAGAGCTCCAGCACTGTTAATTACTTCTTTCATGTCATGTTCACTTTTTTAAAAGACATAAAAATACAGTAACTGGTAATGCTATTGTTAGGAACTACACAGTTGCAGCTGAGTACTGAAACTAAAGTAAAACACATTTCTGCTTTCACAACAGACCCATCATCACAATGAGTATAGATAAAGAGAGCTTTTGGTTTATAACTTTAAATTGGCAAAACTTTGAAACAGTTCCCCTCTGTAAATATGAAATATCGAAAGATTCTAGGAGTTACTAATTTACATACCAGATGCTTGAAGAACAGTGGTCATTTGAAAGGCAGTTATCACTATTAGGCACCTGGGAGATGTTAAATTGTAATGCATCTTATTTTTTTGTTTTTTCCTGTCTTTACAGGACACAGATCTCAAGAATGTTATATTGTAGTGAGCTGATTAGTATATGCTTTTTGGGGGGGCCAGGTTTTCAAAAGTGCCCACTATCCATTATTCTCACTGGAAGCTCCTGGGGGTCAAGGTCTTTTGAAAATCTGGCCCCTTTATTTTCATGAGAAATGTTGTGTTTGTCTCTGTGAAGGGGAGTATAGTTATCAAAATGATTTTAATTTGTTATCTCTTTGCAGTACAGCCCAGAGCACGTGGCGGGAGCAGGAGAAGGCACTGACCCTTCTGAAATCACTTTTCCAGGATGTAATTGTCTTACTGCTTCCTGCGTGGCCAACACTTGTTCGTGTCTTCGCCATGGTGAAAACTATAACAGTTTATGCATCAAATACATAGGAGGTGAAGTGGACTATGCTAGACCTATTTTTGAATGCAATGCTATGTGCCATTGTGGTGAGTTCTGTCAAAACAGGGTTATTCAGAGGGGTTTACAATTCAGACTTGAGGTGTTCAAGACTGTTAAGAAGGGTTGGGGTCTCCGCACACTGGAGTTCATACCAAAAGGAAGATTTGTGTGTGAATATGCTGGTGAAGTTCTATGCTTCCGTGAGGCATGTAGAAGAATACAGGCACAGACACCAGAGGATTCAAACTATATTATAGCTGTGAGGGAACACTTGTATGATGGACAGATAATAGAGACATTTGTTGATCCTATAAATATAGGAAATGTTGGCAGGTTCCTGAACCATTCTTGTGAGCCAAATTTATTTATGGTTCCTGTCCGAATTGACTCACTGGTGCCCAAACTGGCACTTTTCGCTGCTGCTGCTATCTCTGCTGGAGAAGAACTTTCATATGATTATTCTGGAAGATTTCTTAATGTACCGTTAATCAAAAGAGAGCAGGAAATGTTGGAGGAAGATGATGTAATGAAAAAACCCTGTTACTGTAGTGCTAAATCATGTGTTGGTTTTTTACCATATGATAGCTCTCTGTGCTATACACCAGGCAAACAAACTTTTGGCAAAGTTTCTCAAGGAAACAGCTGTGCATAGGGATTAAAAAAGATTGATATAGGTGAATATAGCATCTATTGTCAGATGTGCCTAAACAAAAATGGAATGAGATTCCTTTGTGCTGCCACCCAAAAAAATGACCATAGGTCCCCCTCCCCACACACACACACACAGCTACAGCAAGGGTAGAAGTATAATGGCAAGATGTGGGAGGGGGAAATAGGAAATGCCACTCCACCTAGCTTCAAGTGAAAGGTTAAGTGACTCATTAGGACTATAGGCAAAGTGTAGGAAGTAATTGTTACGTACACTATAATCTTACACAGTTAGAGGCATAGGCTCAGGACACAGTGACCCCATAACTTTACATCTCAGTAAGGGTTAATACTTCACACATAGGTGAAGGAGGAATCAGAGCAGAGGCACTGCTGGTGCAGAATAAACAGAAGCTCAGGCAGGGGTAAAGTGCTGCGGGTGACTGTTAGACAGTATGTGCAAAAGGGAAAAATGGTGTTTTCAGGAGAGGCGACTGCAATCTGCTTTACCGCTCTGACTGTTAGAGCTGGCCTTGGACAAAAGCCAAGACAGAGTTCCTGACAACTTGCTGAACAATCTCCTGTACTCTCAACTTGATTCCAGGTGGATGATGCAAGAGAGAGCTAAATGGGTGACCTGTTGCCACAGCTAACCTTTTTCTGTTAAAACAAGAAAGCTTAGGATAACTTGCCACAGCTCAAAGGGAAGTTGAAGGTTTTGATATAAGGCCTGTTTCAGTGGACAGCGAGGTATATAGAAACAGATTGAATTAGAATGGTAGGTGCAGAAAAGAGGGAATTTGGGGAGATGAGTTAGATAAGGGAAAAAAATCACTTAAGAATTAAAGGTTTCGGAGTAGCAACCGTGTTAGTCTGTATTCACAAAAAGAAAAGGAGGACTTGTGACAGCTCACTTCATCGGATGCAGCTCACAAAAGCTTATGCTCAAATAAATTCGTTAGTCTCTAAGGTGCCACAAGTACTCCTTTTCTTTTTAAGAATTAAATCTAGGGAAAAAAATCAAGGTGACAAGTGCAAATTAACAGTGGCATTTACAAAGGTGGCACCCGTTTTTGTTTTTTTAAACTGTGTGCCATTAATAGTTCCTGCAAACTAAAACTATTTAAAACATGAATTGCCTTCCCTGTTCTGGAGCCTGTTTGAAAATTAGGAGTCACTTTCTTTTATCCAATGCTGTAGCTGAGCCCCTCCTATTTCATGACCAGCTTTTACAGAATATTAAGTGAAATGTATTCCCGCCTCCCCATCTTTTGCCCGCTCTTCCTGCTCACCCCTCTTGACTGTAACTGGCTAGGGAGCTAATGCTGTTCCATGAACACTTGACTTTCCATTTTCTCCTTTGTTCCCTGAAATTGACTCTGTACCCCAGGCCTCCTCTGTGATCATTCTAACTTTTTCTGAACTGGCTCCATCTCAAGGCATAGGCTCTGTTAGCCACAAGAGGGCACCAATGTAGATGTATAGTCATCCCTTTGAAATAGCATGCATCACCTCAGTGATGCTTCCAGCTGATGTTGGCAAAACAACTGAGGGAGTGTGCAGAAAATCCAAACTCCACTTTGTGGAGTAGTACAATACACGACCTGTGTGTCTGGCAAAACAGACTGAAGTGGTAGATGCTAATATACAACACCTTTGCGAACAAGCATATGTTTCTGCATTGTTCAACAGATGGCACAGAGAAGAGGAGGTTTTTGTTTTATTTTATATTAGTCCTTTCAAGCATTTTTTTATGCAGTCAAATGTTTTGTTAGCCTGTTTTTTCTCTCAAACCAAATTGTTTTTCTGCCTTGGGTTATAAGGAACAGGGAAGCAGAGATTTGTCATTGCAGATAGGAGGGATAGTGGTGTTTCAAAGATACATAAAGTAATGGCTACACTTTACAACTAAAAAATACAAAATGTTTAGCAGTATGAGTTAAGTTGCTAGTTTTAGGCCAGTTGTTGTGGACCAGTGACTGTCCCAAAACTATCCACTAGCACTGTTACTGATTGTCATCAGTCCATAACCATCTGATGGCGTCAGAGTACCTCCTCTTTCTCCCTTAGAAATGATTGCTTCTGCTAGTTGTGTATGGTGGAGGTGTACGTAAGAGAAACTTCCTATTTGTTGGTGTCTTGAGTAAGTAAAGTGCGGCAAGGGTGGCAACCAACTCACCTATCCTCAAGAGATGAAATGCACAATCACTTAGCACTTAATTTTTCTTTGGGGGCAGAAGGAATCTTATTGTAAGTAAGCAGGATATTTTCAATTCAATTTCCATCTTATATCTATTTCTTTAATTTTGAGATTAACATTTTTATGCATGAGGCATCTGCACAAAAGAACCACTCTTGCCCCTACCTAAAACTGATCTTGACTGAACATTCCAGATGGAAGGGTTGAAAATGTAGAACATGAAAGATGTTTTAGAGCCCAAGGAAAGACCATACTTTGTTCCTTCACGGCAGGTAGGCCCCAATCAGGGCAGAGCTACTCTCAGACCCTAGTTTAGAAAAGGAAAAGGGTCTCTCACGCCTTTCCTGTAATTCCACACAGTCTTTCTTTGTAGCATGCTTTAAGTCCAGTCTGTTTCAGTTGGGCTAGTTTAAAGATTTAGTGCTCCCCTACACTACCTTTTGCCCCCAGTTTCCAGTGTCCCATCCCCCACCCTTCCCCCAAAATCATACTACTGGGAAACCGACACTACCTTTGTGGTAAAATTTGAAGGGCAAGTAGATTCATCTATGCACTGCTTAGTTTTGGCTGCTGGACTAGCTTATTTGTAATGTTTTGTCTTGTGCTGTTGGGTGGTGAGGTGGTACAACATATATTAAAGTCAGTTTTTAAGAACAGGATAGATGGGTCAATTGCCAGTAGATCAGATTTAATTATAATTTTTTAAAAAAAACCTAAACCTGCATTTTACAACACAAAAATCCATTGTCTATAAAAACTATTTCAATGTATGCTTTCTGTAATACAATATGTTCTCTAAGTAGCTCACTTACTGAGTAGCTCATGTTATCTTAATTCACTGTACCTTGGGTCTATTAAATATCACAAAGTGTTCAAACATACATGTCTGTCCAATAAATTTGTAAACAAATCTGCTTTATTTGGGTACTTAGGAGTAATTGCAGGTAAAATATTGCAATGGTGGAGAACCTTCAGCAAGGTGGCTACTGTTTACTACAGTGCCTCAGAAGCAGTATTGCACCTTTGCATTTTGATTTTCAGCAGTAAGGGGATGGCCTGAATGGTTCCACGCCAAACAAACATTTCACAGTAGGATAAGGAATACAGTTCTATGAAACTAGTTCCAGTTCCACATGCTGCTGCTTTTCTAACTGGAAAAGATGGTCAGTGGCAACACCCTTCACAATCTGTTCCTGTAAGTCCTGGACATTTGCGAAACAAGCAGTGAGGGGGCCACTTCTGCCAAACACTTAAGGAAAGAACACTAAGGGTGGATGTTGTTAAAAGATAGTTCTGTGTCTGCTTAATTATTTGTTTTTATGTCCCATTCTGCTGAGTGAGACACTATTGTACTTTTAAGTTTGTAAGTAGTATGTATTTCCAATCATACTATTTGTCCTGTTGGAGCAGTCAGCACCTAAACAGTTACTTTAAATACACATTCTAATTTGCAAAAAGAAAAGGAGTTCTTGTGGCACCTTAGAGACTAACCAATTTATTTGAGCATAAGCTTTCGTGAGCTACAGCTCACTTTACCCTCGTTTTTATGAAGGATGTTGGCCAGATAGCACCTCCAGTGATAAAATACACCTTCACTGTTTTCCAGGTGTTAATTTGCAAAAGGAGTATCTCATCCACCCATCTTGGAAAGGGAAGAGCTTTGGTTTTGCTTGCTGTAACTGAGGTGCTAGTCTTTCCTTAGTTTCCCATTTTGACAACCCACACACTCCCTAAAGCCCATCTACAATTTCACTTCTGTCAAAGAAAGACAATTAGATCTTATGCTAGGATTAAATTTTTATGCAAATTTTGGAGTAATGCACAGAAGCCATCCAAGACAAGGTAGGATTCAAAAAATCAAATGCTTAAGAACAAAAGATCCTATTAGTATTACATTGTTTCAACTTTTAAACAATGTTAAAAATAAAGTCCCCAAATCTTAAGTTTTAGCAGTACAGCTGTAAGTGACATGAATGTAGCTTCAATCCTCAACGATGAGTTGAGTAAACGTATTTTTGCATTTCTAAAGTGCCTTTCAGCCAAGGATCTGCAAACATAAGGCTTCAAGTGTTGCCAAAGAGCACACTATTGCCATAAGTCAGACCCCAAACAGAAGAAACACTGCAAAAATGGGGAAAAAAGTGATAATTTTTCTCATTCAGTAGCCACTACCAGCTCTCTGGCTATCTCAGTGGTTCTCAACTCTGGTCCACTGCTTGTTCAGGGAAAGCCCCCAGTGGGCCGCGGCATCCGCAAGTTCGGCCGATAGCGGCTCCCATTGGCTGTGGTTCGCCACTCCAGGCCAATGGGGACTGCAGAAAGTTGGAGCCACTATCGGCCAAACTTGTGGACGCTGCAGCCTGCCAGGGGCTTTCCCTGAACAAGTGGTGGACCAGAGTTGAGAACCACTGTGCTAGCTGCGTACAAGACAATGAAACAAAACGTACAAGGGTGTTGCCATAGTTCCCAGACAGTGGGCATGTGTTTATTGTGTGTGGCAGGGGGTGTTTTGTTTTTGAACACTGCTGTCTTACTAGGCAGGACAAGTTTGGGAAAATCATGTGCCACAATGGAAAGACTAAGGAGCTGCCTAATCTTATCATAACAGTGCAACCACTGCCTGTTTCATAGCATGAGTTTAGTAAATGTGATATAGCAGACAGAGGAAGTGTCCTTTCATTTTATTTGTTACATGTCTCCATTGTTTTTCCTTATCAGCATTAGATCCCATACTTTAGTTAATAATCCTTTTTTGGGAGGGGACCACTTCCCAATTTAAAAAAAAGCAGCCTTTATAAGCATAGTAGAGCTTTTTTGTTTTGTGGGGAACTGTGTGTACACAGTCAGCCAACAGTCAAGTAATATTAACTAATCAAGGATTGATGTATAAAGCTGCAGTTATAGAAAATATGTAGATAGACAACATTATAGAATGCTCTCCTTGATCAGATTGGCTATCAGCTATATTAATTCCTAAACAAGATTAAATTAATGGGGACATGGATGTTTAAAACAGAAGGCATTTGGTTTTGAGTTTTCCCCACCTTCAAGTAGAAAGGTGTAGATTTGGCTTTGATATAATTCATTAACACATTAAGCAGTAAACTAAATGCTCTGGGCACGCTCAACTAGCCCTTGCTGTGTTTCTTCTCCATGATTTGACAGCCTATATTCATAACATTTGTGCATATAGCATGTACTACAAGCTACCTATCTGATGACAGATACATTAACTTCCATAAACCAACAGTGATGCTTTATTTTTCTTCTGATGAGGACTCCATTTTGGAACTGAATCATTACTTGACGCTGATGAAGGGCCAAGGGAATTTGATTGCTCTTTGCTGGACTGTCTTCACATACACTTTACTGCTGGATTTTCACCTTAGTCTCACCCTATTCTATAAGCATGTCTCCCAACTGTGATTGTGGAGAATGACTTAAGTGGGTTTTATGTGTGATTAGAGTTCCAGCAGAAGGTAGAGACAGATTGAAGATCATATCTAATGATTCACTTTTGTCATTTCTATAGGTATGTTAATCCTAAAAGCACCATACTTAGATTTTGAGTTTATGGTTTTGCTCATGACTGGCACTCTCTGAACAGTGATTAATACCTTAAACTATTAGTTGAATAAGGTTTGGATTTCTCTTAGGAGAAATCTACATCTCAAGAGAAGTTCCACAGATTCTGTATCCTCATCTGTAATAGGGTTTCATCTAAATATTAAAAGAACACAGCACTTGATAAGACTTCAAGCTCTACTTTTTGGTGCAGAGAAGTCTCTCTCCCAAAACAGAATCATGCCTATCACTTTTTAGCTGGTATATTTGGATATCTAAATTAAAAGAAGGTCCAATCTACCTCCTATTCCTCACTGTAAACAACTTCTGTAATATTCCCATAGCACTGTATTTTTCCATCCCCTAAGATTAGATGGGCTTTTAAGATCAATTGAACTGCTTCCAATTATTCTCTTGTGAATATATTTGGCAAGGCTCCAACTACTTGGAAAAGTGTAAATTCAAAATGCATTACAGCCATATCAAATCTGCATTATTGGCACTGAACCAGAGGACATGGGTGAGTCTTGTATCTGCATGTAATGTATTTCTTTTCTTTTAGTCCTGGCCAGTTGATCTTTGTTTCTGGTGAGAGTGACCCAGACACTCAAGATATCTGTACTTTCAAAACTAAAGAATTTGCTAGAACACTATCAAAGTAATACGTTGTCATTTGGTCCTAATCACTTTCATGGCAAGTAAGTTTTAAGTGACAAAAACACAGATCTTTGCTGTACTGCAGCTGCCTTCCTTGATGGAATAAAGGCTACTAGAATGCTACCTCTCTCTAGAAGATGACTGAAAAAAGATTGAAGTGCATTCTCCGTCAGCTGCATCTCTACTAACAACTGCTACAGAGTTTTCAGACTTGTCCTATGAATTGCACGTAAGGTCTTCAAATAGTAAATATCCAATAAGTAAGATTTCTTTAGACTTTGTGTTATAAATTGTATCAATCTGTCCAAATAGCCTGTTCCTCCAAGGATTAGGCCCACCACAAAATCTGATCTGCCAATTCACTGTTCCATGTTCACTTTAATAATGGATCAAATCCAAACACCTCAAAAGGCCAAGAGTTTGGATTCCAACCCTGAGTGCAGTACTGTTCATCTTTCAACTGCCTGTATGTGTCGCAATGTGAGAAATTCAGTTACAACAGATTAATTTAAAAGTTGTTTTCCCCCCTCCATTTATTTTTAAATCTTAAGGATGTGAATACTAGCGCACCACCACTGGAAAACAGCAAGCTATCGTTCACCAGACTTTTCCTTAAAAGTCACCTGTAAACAGGATAGAGGGGGCTAGAGAGATCTGAAAAAATAATAATAAATACCTTTAGAGGATGCTACCCATTTTCTTATTTTTTTTATTAGTTTTAAATTAGAGGCCTTAATATTGTACTTTTAACTTCTCAACTATTATTTGTGTCAAGGTAGTTGTTTAATCCAAGAAAGTTTTCCCACTTTCCATCTTCCAGCATAAAAAAGTTTTAAATATGGCATTGTTCTCTTTTGGTAAAATAAAGGGGAAGGAAGTTTACCTTGTTTCTCTGACCACTGGTAGAGGAATATCTAATTTGCCCAGTGACAAACCACATGCTTCGCAGATGGCTGAAGAGTGAAGTGAGACGAATAGTAACACAAAAACCTCAGTTGTTTACAGAATGTTCAGTTTAATCATTTTATCAAAGTTCTGATCGATTGTTGTAAAAATGTAAAAAAAAAAAGGTGGAACTAGTTCAAGCTAATGCTGTACATATGAAACAAACAAGTTAAACCATCAGAATGAAAGACCAGCAGAAGGAAGTTCACACCTATGTCACTCAGGGGACAGTAAATCTTGACAGACATGCCCCACTTCTAAAGAAGCATTCTGAAGCTGCCATTTAGAGACAAAAATTCCTATGATTTTTCAAAGCTTCAGAACCAGACACTTTTTTAATTTTATATATAAATAAGCAGTGTTCAACAATGACAATAACTCAAAGAATTTTCATGAAAGCATACTCCCTTCCACAAAGGCAGACATGTCCCTATGATGGCAAAGGAAGTTTAAACTAAGATGGACAGCATTTCTCTCCATTTGTTTCAGTGGATGCACTATTTTGAGCACTGTGTTTAGTATATACAACTGGTCAGCCTTTCCCAACAGTTCCCGAACAGTGGCTTGAGATACCACAGCTTTTTCCTATGATTATGTGATATGTTTTAACACTTGGCATTGGCAAATGTTTATACTTTAATGGCTTACACGACAGACTAAAATTCAGTGTAAGTGTAACTTTAGTTCCTATGCCAATGGGGTCTGGGGTGGGTGAACTGCACGGTCACTCCCATAGGAATAAACCTCTCTAGTGGCTTTCCATTCGGCGGGAAACTCACTATCCCAGGGCAGAAGTTAGCAACTAATGTCTTTGTCTTTTAAAACCTACCTATCAAAGTTATAGGCAAGAAGTGCTGGAAACAAGCGAATAATATGAATACAAAATATTGCTATTACAAACTCACTTACCCCATTGTATTCATAGATCTCAAAGCACTTTAAAATGGGAATCACTCTTATGCACCTTTGTATAGATGGGGAGACCGAGACACAGGACTTGTCCTAGATCACTGTGGAACAGCTGGGAATAGAACCCATGCCTAAGGGATTGGCACATTCAGGTTAGGAGCTTCTTAATATTTAGCAAACAGAAAATTTCTTGATTAGATTAAAGTTAGAATAAAGAGTAAGTGGTTGACATGGAAACTTTTTCATCTGCCCCTAAGACTGGGCCCCAGAGTCAGCAGCACTCTGCTGGTAAGAGTGAAGCACATTAGAGAAGAAAGATTCAAGTGTATTTTAACATGAAAAGCCCAAGATGATGGAGTTAATTTACCAGCCACAACTACATTTAGCTATCACTGAGCTTTTCAATACATTTTGAAACTTATCTAAGGACAACCTCAAGGTTTTCCCAATGAAGCCTATGAGAAACTTTCCATTCAGTTCAAATTTCCTGTCTTTTCATGCAAGCTTTCATACAAGAAGAGCCATTCACTAGCAAAGAAAATTTTGAAACCACTAGTTTGAATAAATAACTTAAAACCCCCAAAATAAATCTACACAATGTTAGATAGACGTTAAAGGAAATCTCCGGTGTGTTTCTATTGCTACAAGTTTCCAGTGTAAGGGAAATAATGCTCATTCCTTTGTGGGACTATCATCCCCATTCTAATAAAAGCTGCCACTTTTTAGAAAGGGAGAAAATTACTGCTCACCTGGGCAAGGGTCCTTTCTGAACACAATGTTCACGTGTGACAGCAACAAGAGCTACACTACGTTTTTACAAATGTAGGCTACCTACACATTTGTAGGTAGCCTAAATCTACAAAAGCATAGCCAATTGCTAATATAGGGTAATAGTTAATGTGGAATGTTTTTCTTCCATCCGTGACCCTCAGTTATACTTGACAATATGTTTCCTATATTACTCAGGATGTAACAAGTAAATATCATGCTACAAAACCTCAGATTTTCCTTTAACTCCTCCCAAAGTATGTAAAGCCTACTTGAGGGTTTTGGATCACGTAGGTAAATCTATCATAAAATACTTACTCAGTACTGAAGAGCATCTTCTCTAAAGGAGAGAAAAATAGTATCGGAAACAAAATATCCTTCTCAAAATGCAGTCAGGAAAGTTCTGGTTCGTTTTATGCTGGTGTAAATCTGGAATATTTCTAATTAAATTAATAGCATTAACTCCATGTTTTCACCTGCACAGTTGAGATGGGAATTCAACCCAAAGATTAGTTATAGAACTAAATGTCTCTGATTAGCATTGACTTATTTTGGAAGGTGATTTTCTCCAACGCGGTCTTTTTTAATTAGCTGGATATCTTGTTTTTTCTCACTAGAGACTGGTAACTGCAGAACATCTCAGCAGGCTGGAGCTCCACAAAACTCCTCGTCCTGGAGTGAAATTTTTAGTCCCCTGTGGCTTCAGAGCACCAACAAGTTCTGTCACTGTAAAGCTGGCAGAGTGTCTGCCGCACAACGGAATCCCAGGTTTGAAGCAGAACTATCAGGAGTGTTTTGACTGCGGGCTGCGCAGCGATACCTGTAGCAATAGGACTAGAAGGTGAGAAGAAAAAAGAAGTCACTTAAGTGCATATTACAGCTTATCTCTATGTCTACATAAGTAAGGGCTGGTTAGACTAATATCCCAGAGCATTTCAATTGCTGATGATGTTTGCTACTGACTGGCAAAGATCACACAGTCAAGCACCAGGCTGATGGGGAAAAGTTGGAAAAGCCTATTGGATGGAAGAGATGAAACTCAAGGAGAAATTCTGACAGTTATTTGCAAAAAACCAGAAGTACTTGTGGCACCTTAGAGACTAACAAATTTATTAGAGCGTAAGCTTTCATGGGCTACAGCCCACTTCATCGGATGCATTGAATGGAACATATAGTAAGAAGATATATATATATACATACAGAGAAGGTGGAATTTGCCATACAAACTGTAAGAGGCTAATTAATTAAGATGAGCTATTATCAGCAGGAGAAAAAACACTTTTGTAGTGATAATCAAGATGGCCCATTTAGACAGTTGACAAGAAGGTGTGAGAACACTTAACTGAAGGAAATAGATTCAGTATGTGTAATACACAAAAACAGACTCCAAGGAGAAACTGCTGAGCTTGAATTAATATGCAAACTGGACACTATTAACTTGGGTTTGAATGGAGATTGGGAGTGGCTGGGTCATTACACATATTGAATCTATTTCCACATGTTAAGTATCCTCCCACCTTCTTGTCAACTGTCTAAGTGGGCCATCTTGATTATCAATACAAAAGATTTTTTCTCCTGCTGATAATAGCACATCTTAATGAATTAGCCTCTTACAGTCTGTGAGAGGCTAATTAAGATAGATAGATAGATATAATCTTCTTACTATACGTTCCATTCAATGCATCCGATGAAGTGAGCTGTAGCTTACGAAAGCTTATGCTCAAATAAATTTGTTAGTCTCTAAGGTGCCACAAGTACTCCTTTGCTTTTTGCAGATACAGACTAACATGGCTGCTACGCTGAAACCTCTAATAAATTTGTTATTCTCTAAGGTGCCACAAGTACTCCTGTTTTTTTTTGTTTTTTTTTTTTTGCAGATACAGACTAACACGACTGCTACTCTGAAACCTGACAGTTATTTGAACACTTGGTTACCCTTAATCCCACTCCACCTCCCGCCCCCATCTTTGTATATTTTGTTGAAGTTCTTCAAGACAGGGAACTAATAAATTGACTCTGTTACAAATGCAGCAAGAGGTACACCGGGAATAATTACCTACCTCAGATGTACTGAAAATGAAGGACAGTTTGTAAACTACTCTGAAGATTAAAAGCACTGTTATTTATGCAGTGCCACAGGAGGCTACGATGCTTTAGTCAGCAATACAGTGCTTACAGATACAAGCTTAATGGGGTTCTTGCAACAAATTTTTGGTGGCCTCAGAGTGCAGCCACCAAACTCTTGCTGGTGGTCACTGACAATTTTTCCTAAAATACTTAATTAACTTTAGGAAAAAAATAATAAATATGCACATATACACGTCCAAATCATTGTAATTTATTTATACAGGTTTTTTTTTGCAGACTCAATAATAAAAACAATGTACAGTTGTCTCTGTTCTTTACAGGACCTAAACAGAATAGAAACACAAATAAGGTGCTTTTCACATTCTTGTCTTTTTTTCTGGTTGTTTCTTTTGCTTTTTTTGATTGCCCCCCTCCCTTTTTTTAAGACTTGCTAGCTACTAAGTCTGTTATGAAAAGTGATTAACAAACATACAAATGTCACTTTTCACAGCAGACTTACCCAGTCCCAGCAAGCCTGGGCACAAATTAAGTCCTGGATGGGGAGGTGGGTACGGAAGCAGAAGGGGCCAGGGCGATGGGGCACTGGGGGAGGCAGCAGTGGTCGAAAACCGGATGCCTGGCAACCCTAATTAATATTAACTTACTGAGAACTGTAATACATTTACTTTAGATGAAATACCGTAAACAGTAGTTGCACAAGCTTAAAGTACATATACATTAATATATTTAATGCAAGTCCATTTCAGAATGCAGTTCAGTGTATATTCCAATATACTTTTTCTTGCACTTTTCAGTTGTTTCCAGTATAGATAGCGTTTACGCTATTCTGCAGATTTTTAGTCAAAAAATGAAAATCTGAAAAGATTAGTAACTAATAGATCTCTCCCTCTATTCCCCTTTTAAAAAAAATCTGTATTCCATGCATTTGAAGAATTGAAAATTCTGATCATGTGTGAAGATCTTTATAGGTCAAATTTAGAATTGCATCCTGCCTCTCTCCCGCGCTGCCCCCCCCCCTTAATTTCCAACATAAGACTGAAACATACTTAATAAGGCACAGATTAGATTCTAGTGTAGCACTTCATGGTTTGGACAATGAAACAGCGATAAGATCAGACAAATATTTCTCCGTTTAACCCAATCAATGTAGCTGTACAACATAATATTTGACAGTAAGAGTGCAAACTAGCCTTTTCTCATTGCACAAGATTTGTCGTCAAGGCATTCTATTATTCTACTTTTTCTCTTTGTATCGAATAAAACTGATTTAATGGGGCAAAGGGTCTTGATACATAAGGAGGATCTGGAAGTGAAAGGTACTGACATCTGTCTAGAAAAATCCTATTGACCATGACTGAATGACATCCTGAGGAAAAAAAGCAACTGGACTGAAGACCATCTTATGTTCTGGCATTCCTGTTGGTAGTCTTTTTAGGGATACCTATACTCTGATATAATCTATATTGCATCTTATATTGCTGCCACAAACATTTTCATTTAAAACAAAACCACTGGGATAGATGGTTCAGCTGCCTCTCAGAAGTTCTTGGGAAGCAATGATTTTGCGCTGACTGTTTCCTCTCTTGCTGGACTGATTTCAGAATAGGCTGCAATTATGTAGAAGTTCCCCTTTAGGAAAGTAAGAGGAGGAACTGTTATTTCAAATCTTTCTGATATGAGGGAGGCAGCACAGGATTATCCAGCGTGACCTACCCTCTCAGACTCTCTTTAATGTGGCCCCTCTGCTGGGACTGAAGCACATTGGTAAGGAACTGTCAAAAGCTTGCACTGCTAATTCTGTACCTGTTCTGTGCATAACAGGTTTGAATCTTCAGTGGTGGCAGTCAGGAATAGTTCACAAGCACTAAACAGTCAATGGAGACGATGCAAGGATTGACACACATACACACAGTCCCAAGTCAGTGGTTTCCAGTGTAGATAACTTTTGTGTTATACTGCAGATTTTTTAGTCCAAAAATGAAAATCTGAAAAGATTAGTAATTTATATATCTGTTTTGTGTGAGCACTGTCTCAACAACGTATGCACGCTTACCACACTTACAGTCCAACAAAAGGGATCAAATTCATCCCAGGTGTAATTCGCTCCACTAGCATCAAGGATAAATTTGGCCTAGAGTTTTTAATGGAAGGGCCACCAGAAATTATTCAGAAAGGATTAAATGAACTTCATACGGTTAAACTTTAGTCCCTCACCTTGGACTACCGATTTAAAAAGATAAACTTCCACTCCAGTTCGTATTTTCAGTTAGCAGAGAGTAAGAAACTTGCAGCAATTAGCATAACACAAATTTGAATAAGTTGGAGAGATTTCATTTCAGCACCTTTCAGATTTCCAGCACGCAGTATTAAATAATATGAAGTATGTTTTACTTCAGTTTAACAAACAGTAGGTACTGAAAATTTTTTAGCTTTCCCTCTTCCACTACACCATTTATTGGACTTTGCATTTTGCTCCCTTTTGGAGAATAAATTCACTGAAAGCATGATTAAAGCTGCAAAACTATGATGTTAACTTGGGACAAGCAAAAGGAGTTATTTGTAAAAACGTAGGTCAACACAAAAACTAGGGGTCTTTATCTACCTCTTCCTATCAAGTAGAACACTCCTCACTTTTTGGAAACAAACTCTCAAGTGACAAATATTCTAGAAGCATCTGCAGAAAGCAGAGGTAACTGGTTGTGTTTATATACAGACACTTTAACAATGGAATAGGATCTCTCCACCTCTCCCCTTGTAATGTTCAAATAGTGAGAGCATTTCAAACATTAATGAAGTGTGCCTTAATATTGAAAACTGAGAAGTCCACATTCATGAATTGCAATATGCTTAGAACAGTTAATATTTTGCATTTACCTTTGGAGATGCTAATGATTTTCCTACATACACTAATTAAAAATGTGATTAAACTGGCAGGTGTTTAAAAATGACATTATGGGATTCCTTTGTTCATCATCTTCCTTCCAGATCAAATGTGCTTGTTTATGACATTTATAAGAGTTGCCCCTTTTTGATCCAAGTGGCTAGTCAAATTTTGGGGCCCTGGGGACATTTCAGTTAGGAGGAGAAATTGGCAATACTCATATTTCTTTGATGCAATCTTGTTTATTTACAAGGAATGTCTGAAGTCCTAGTCTCTGAACACAGAAGGAATCAAATAGCAGGAAATTTCTTCTTTTGCTCACAGAGCCAACAACAGCCTTTTCAGCTTGCACCCTCTCCCCAGGTGTCTTCCAGGTCATACATAGTCCTTCCAGCTGCTCCTTTGAGCTGTCTGTATCCCTCTGGTCCTCTGTGTTCTGTCTTCCCTCCTCTCCCTCTGTCCCTCCCACACACCCACTCCCCACTCCTCTTTGCCTAAAACAATATTCAACAAAACTTCTCAGGCAGGTTCAGATACTCCTTGTGTCTTAGGTGGGGGCTTATCCTTACAGTTATTTCAACTGCAAGGTGCATTCATGCCTATCAATCTCAATGATGTTTTAAACTCAGCCTGTAAAAAAGATTTCACCCAGCTCACAACAAAGATGTATTTTCCCCCCTGCACTGCCAGCCCTGCAAACGCAAACTGTTTTTTATTTCAGGCTCAACACCCCTTCCAGGAATGTAGGTTCCACAACTGGCATTTAGTTTGATCTAATGCGTGAGCCAAAAATAGAACCCAGTTCACACCACCATATAGCCTTGCAGTAAAAAGAATGAGAGTACTAAAAATATATCCAAGAAGT